GCAATTATTGTTTCAGGTGAAGGATTTGTTGGTGACCATGGTGATGAGACGGAGGAGACATGACGAGCGAGGACCATAAGCTGCGTAGTTTACCTTTGCTTAGCTTAAGTTTAGTTGGTTAAGACCCTTTGTTTGGTCGATAAACTATTTGATCTTATCTGAATAATTGGGAGGTTCCCACTTGTTGTTTATTTTATTTCGGGATAGGTGTTTACTTTAGTTTTCTTCCATTCATTGAGTTTTGCCTAGCTGAAATAATAAATTTGCCTCGTGAGGTTGTCCACGGATGCTGTTGATTGATATCCTATGGAATTGATTTATTGTTAAATTGATGAGAGGTGAAGCTTGATTTTATATAATTATTGCACAGGGAGTTGACATCTCGTGTTTGGGGTTAAGTTTAAACAGTTGGATAGTTAACAAGACCTAGAAGCGTGTGGGAAATTCTGGGTCGTTACAATTGGTATCAGAGCAGAACCTCTCCCAGTAAGATGTGGTTCGGGGACAAACCAAGGCGGAAGCTGGTGGGCATGTGACGCCCGAGAGGAGGGGTACATGAATGAACCGATACCACATCCGAATGAGAGGGATCCTGAAATTATTGAAGAATGGTCAATAAAGGGTTAAAAAGAATTGATAGTCACTACCTATACCAACAAGGTGCAGCTTCCTTTTCGGTGGCTCAATCGTAAGAACTTCAAAGTTTAGCGTGCTTGGCTTGGAGCAATCTTAGGTTGGGTGACCTCCTAGTTGTTTTACTAGGAAGCATGTGAGTGAGGACAAAGCATGCTGGAAGGACTCGTGTTGGTCTGTAGGGGCAGTCTATGCTCTTTTAAGTGGTGCAGCCAGGTTGCAGGGGAATGTCAGGGCAGAGAGGTGCCGAGGTGGGATTCCGAATCCTGGGCCTGGGGCGTTACAGATGGTATCAGAGCGGAGTTGTTCCTGTAGACTGTCCTAGAATCTAGGTCGATAGGGTATGGTCCTTGTCAGTCTCCTCGTCATCACCAGGTACGTTTCCTAGTTCTGTTTGTTCGATCACCCTCAAGCTGAGGCCTACTGCGGCCGAGGAATGGGTCAGGGAGTTGGAAGTCCGTTATGTGTATTTGGGATGCTCCGACGATTTCAAGGTCCGGGGAGCAGTGTTTATGCTTCGGGGAGAAGCAGTAAATTGGTGGGAGTCGGTGGCGACAGCGGAGGATCACGCAAACGTACATGTCACGTGGGCAAGGTTTACGGACCTACTTTATGAGTACTATTTCCCCGTGACTGTCAGGAATGAAAAACAGGCAGAGTTTCTCCGTCTCACTCAAGGGAGCCTAACTGTGGCCTAATACGAGAGGAAGTTCACTGAGCTGTATCGTTTTGGAATGCAATATATTCCTACTAAGCAATTAAAGATTGACAAGTTCATTGACGGTTTGCGTAGGGAGATCAAGGGGCTACTTGTTCTCAAGGAACCAACTACATATGCAGCGGCAGTCAGGTGTGCGTTGGTTATGGACAAATGTCTCGAGGAGCCTCAGTCTCAGCAGGTGATAGGCTCCAGCTCGGGGGTCAAGAGGAAATTTGTATCGTTCTCCTCCAGCCAACCCTCAAGAGGACAGCAGCATCATGTGTAAAGGCAGACTGCTACTCCGGTGTGCCGCTCTTGTAAGAAGAGTCATGCTGGGCCATGTTGGTTGGGAAAAAGAATATGTTTCAGGTGCCAGAAGGAAGGACATTTCACAAGGGAGTGTCCGATGACCGGCTCGAATACCCAAGCATTAGGCCAGAAGACCCCTGCGACAGCGGCAGCTCAAGGCGGAACCCATAGGGCGCGTGTCTTCACTCTCACCAGGGGGGATGTTGAGCATGCCGAGGCGGTGGTCACAGGTACCCTCTCTTTGCGAGTTTTGAGTTATGTGTTTATGCTTGTGCTTTATAACATGCGTATTACTTTTGCAGGGACTGTTTTAGTGCTAGTATGCCTGCTTACACATTATTTGACTCTGGATCTAGTCATTCTTTCATTGCTTCTACCTTTGTTTGACATGCGGACCTAAAGCTAGAATCGTTAGGCTCTTTGTTGTCGGTTTCCACACCGTCAGGATCTGTGTTGGTCACTAGTCAAATGGTGAAAGGAGGCCAGCTCTCTTTCGATGGTCAGACCTTGGAGGTAGAGTTAATTCAACTGGATATGCAGGATTTCGATGTGATACTAAGCATGGATTGGTTAGCTGCTAACTGGGCTAATATTAATTGCTCAAAGAAGGAAGTTAGTTTTCGTTTGCCCTCCCGACAAAACTTTGCCTTTAAAGGAGTTAAGGCCGGGGTCCCAAGGGTGGTGTCGGCATTGAAGGCCAGCCATCTTTTCCAGCGTGGTGCTTGAGACTATTTGGCTAGCGTTGCGGATGCAAGGAAGGTTGTGCCAAGCATTGAGGCGGTTCGTGTGGTTAATGAGTTCATTGACGTGTTCCCTGAGGACCTCCCCGGCTTGCCTCCGTTTCGCGAAGTGGACTTTTGTATAAAGTTGCTGCCAGGGACGGCTCCCATCTTGAAAGCACCTTATCGAATAGCTCCGGCAGAGTTGAAAGAGCTGAAGCTACAGTTGGAAGAATTACTCGACAAGGGTTTCATCCGCCCAAGCGTGTCCCCTTGGGGTGCGCCCGTGCTCTTTGTTAAGAAGAAAGACGGTTCTATACGACTTTGTATAGACTACAGGACAAAGTTACGGTTAAGAATAAGTATCCCCTACCACGTATTGATGACCTTTTTTATTAGCTTCAGGGAGCGAAAGTGTTCTCGAAGATAGACTTGCGTTCGGGGTACCACCAGTTAAGGTTAAAGGAGGCCGACATTCCAAAGACAACGTTCAGAACGAGGTATGGCCACTATGAGTTTATCATGATGTCTTTTGGACTCACAAATGCTCCGGTAGCCTTTATGGATCTAATGATCGGGTCATAAGGGATTATTTAGATTCATTTGTTATTGTGTTTATCGATGACATCTTGATTTACTCCAGTACTGAGAAGTGTCACGAGGAGCATCTCAGACAGGTTTTGACTACACTACGAGAAAATAAGTTGTATGCAAAGTTTTCAAAGTGTGAGTTCTGGCTGGACAAAGTGGCTTTCCTAGGTCACATAGTCAATAGGGATGGTGTTGCAGTAGACCCCGCCAAGGTAGAGGCTGTTAGTAATTGGCCAAGACCTAGTTCAGTTATAGAGATTCGTAGTTTCCTCGGCTTGGCTGGTTACTACAGGAAGTTCATCCAGAATTTCTCTCGTTTAGCGGCACCGTTGACGCAGTTGACTCGTAAGAATGCTACCTTCACTTGGAGTAGCGAGTGTGAGGAGACTTTTCAAGAACTGAAGAAGCGTTTGGTGTCTGCACCGGTGTTAACTGTCCCCGATGGAACGGGAGGTTTGGTGGTTTACAGCGACGCCTCGCGAAAGGGCTTGGGATGTGTTCTGATGCAACATGGGAAGGTTATAGCTTATGCTTCTCGACAGCTGAAGGTGCATGAGCTTAACTACCCCACTCATGACTTAGAGCTAGCAGCAGTGGTCTTCGCCTTAATGTTATCGAGGCACTACCTTTACGGAGAAAGAATTCAGGTCTTCACGGATCATCAGAGTTTGAAGTACCTTTTCACTCAGAAGGAGCTTAACTTAAGACAGAGACGGTGGCTAGAGTTGGTGAAGGACTATGATTGTGAGATTAGTTACCATCCGGGTAAAGTGAACGTGGTGGCCGATGCTCTTAGTAGAAAGGCGGCAAGTGTGGCATCTTTAGTAGCGGCCTGCAGTCCAATGCACAGCGAGTTAAAACACTTGGAGGTGGAGCTGACGGTGGATGATATCTCAGCGTTGTTGGCTCGAGTCTCAGTGGAACCTAGCTTGAGACAGAGGATCATTGTTGCCCAAAAGGGAGATCCTAGCTTGGCCAAAGGCTTTAGTATGGTCGGCCATGGAGATTTCACTCTTTCGGGTGAGGCAACCTTGCTTTTTCGCAGAAGGTTGTGTGTGCCAAAAGATTATTCTTTGAGGAACGACTTACTGGGAGAGGCACACAATGCTCCATTCTCGGTTCATCCAGGAAGCACCAAAATGTATCAAGACCTCAAGAAACATTATTGGTGTCATAACATGAAGAGGGAAATAGCTCAGTTTGTCAGCAAGTGTTTAACATGCCAGCAGGTGAAGGCTTCAAGACAGAGACCTGCTGGATTGCTGCAACCTTTGAGCATACCAGTTTGGAAGTGGGACGATGTGGCGATGGACTTCATCACAGGACTACCAAGGACGGTTAAGGGATTTACTGTGATATGGGTAGTTGTAGATCGTTTGACCAAATCTGCTCACTTTATTCCAGGCAAGGCCACGTATACGGTAGAAAAATGGGCGGAACTGTATTTGCAGGAAATTGTCCGGCTACACGGTATACCTGTATCCACAGTGTCCGATCGCGACCCGCATTTCATCTCGACGTTTTGGCGGAGTTTACACAAGTCCCTTGGCACTAAGTTGGACTTTAGCACAGCGTTTCATCCCCAAACTGATGGTCAAACAGAGCGGGTGAACCAGGTTTTAGAGGACATGCTCAGAGCTTGCATGTTAGACTTTGGTGGTAGTTGGGACAAGTATCTCTACCTAATAGAGTTCGCCTATAATAACAGTTTTCAGGCCACGATTGGGATAGCTCCATACGAGGCACTATATGGGAAGAAATGTCGGTCTTCGATTAATTGGGACAAAGTCGGAGAAAGAGTCCTCTTGGGACCGGATTTGGTATAGGTGACTAACAGTGCCATTCAAAAGATCAGGGGAAGGATGCAAATTGCTCAGAGCCGTCAGAAGAGTTATGCAGACATCAGGCGTAAGGAACTCGAGTTCGTGGTAGGTGAGCGGGTGTTTCTTCGTGTGGCACCCGTGAAGGGAATTTTACGCTTTGGGAAGAAAGGGAAGCTCAGCGCAAGATTCATTGGGCCTTTTGAGATTTTGGAATGTATCGGCCCAGTCGCGTATAGGCTGGCTTTGCCACCATCGTTGGTTGCGGTTCACAATGTGTTTCACGTGTCCATGCTGAGGAGGTACATTCATGACCCTTCGCACGTTTTGGATCCTGAACCATTACAACTAGATGAGT